GTTATTCCACCACACAAACAAATTTATATGGACGTGTTATGGATGTGTTAAGGCCACTCAACTTTCTCATTGAGAAATTCAATGTGTGTTAAATATTTCCATCTCCATATCATAATTTACAATGCACTGAATATATTACTATTAACATTTTAAATAATCTTATGTAAATTGTTTTATTAATTGAATGTTGTGTCTATTTTCTATTTCAAAGATGAGAGTTGGCAGCTATAATTTTTGTAGGTTCTCGGTATATAAACATAAAAGGTGCATAATTTATTTAAGATTTTCCATATAATAGAGTGGTGACATTCTATTATTTATTTAGCGATCAATCGGATATTTATAGGTTAATTAATATAATGGAATATGAATATACTCCAAAATACTTAATACTTATTTCATATCAGAATAATTTGAAATAAACAAACCCTAATAATATGATAAAGCGGCCAACTTAATGTTACCATAAATCCTAATAAAATGAAAAGTGGTCAGCTACATGCTGCCAATAAACGTTTGTAATACGCCAAACTTATTATTATTGAAACCAAAGCATCTAATCTACTAATAATTTGAAAAGCAACCTAAAAACGATAATATATAATAATAAATATCCCAACACCAAGAGAAATTCATTCTTCAGCTTTAGCCTTGCCCTTTTCATTAGTAGCAGAGCCCATTTCCTTAGTTCTGGTACGCGTGGGTGAATCGGACAGATCCTTCATGAGATTGCGCTTTGCTGTAGACGTGTCCCCCACATGCTCAATAGCTTGGACAACTTTCAATGGAGTTGTGGCCTCATCTTCCATAGATGGGTCCTATATTACAATACATCAAGTAATTAGTCATATAATCTATTAATATCTAACCGGCACATTGTCGTGATCCTCTCTTTGCAAGAGAGTGAAAAAGTCTGAATCCTACAAATATTATAAAATAATTAATTAAAATTTGTGAAAAAAATAAAAGTATTTTATTTAAATATAATCTTAAGACAAACAAAGTAAATAACTACTAATACTCACTTCATTCTCAACCACCCACTGATTGTACTTGGACACCAAGGAATCGTCGACTACAACCCTCACAACCGAAAAGACTGTATCATCACCATAGCGTTGTTTAGGATCAATCTTAACCTTGAAAAGCATCGTTTTACCAACCAAATCCGCAACTTCATCAGGTAGTTCAAAGCTTTCAGGATGCTGCTTCAATGCATTATAGCATTTTCGTAAGCTAAATGACTAAACATAAGTTTAGTTTTAAAAGATTGTAAATTATAACAAAAATAAATAATTTAATAAATGTTGTACCTTCCTAACAAATTCGGCCCTCAACAATTGGCATGACATGCCAATCATTTTTTCAGATTCTCTATCCCAGCAAACCAAAGTAGCATTAGTAGATGAGTCTACTACAACCATACGAATCTTGAACCTGTTTACATCAATAAGGGAAATCGGTTAATATATTGTCAATAATAAAAGAACTATAAATCAAAATTATATTATCGTTGTACCTAAAAATCCCAATCTTGTGAGCACACTTGTTGCATTTGAATTGACCGTCCTCATCGTTCATCTTTGCATTGCACTTCCGGCAAGCTAGATACCACCATTCATCGACTATTGACTCAATTGTTGCACAAACCCAAGTCTTCATAGCCTATGTTTGTAGGAAAAACTCATTAAATTTTATATGGTAAGAAGCATAAAATAACAAAATAATTACTCTAATATAATTTAACAAATACCTCATCGGTTTCAAATAGCGAGTTAATCGAACTAACAACGACATCTCCGCTTTCCAATTCTTCAATTTCACTTTTGAGCACAATCTTGCTATTGGAGATATATTTCTTGTCCTTAAAATCGCTTGTGGAAAACCTAGAATGTTGGTGGAATTATTGTGAAATTTTGAAATTTATATAAGAATATAATAGCTTTTATTACCTCCGCCAGAACTCCCTAATTTCAGCAATTGTATCAATTGCAATAAGCCTTGTAATATTCAAGGAAGTAGTAAGTTGAACTTCGCCTATATAGTAAAAATAAAAAAAAAAATTAAATAATCGCACAAATGTAAAACTATTGAAAGCATGTGAATTATATATAGCAATATATACAATTTCAAATTTACCTCCCCAAGGGCGAGCCCTGCATAGTTGCATGATTAATACCCATGGCTGACCGGGTGCAACTTCTTGATAGTGTTGTTCGAATGCTAGAAATTGGTCTACGTAATGACCCCAAAGCGTGCAAGTTATAGCAATGCCACTGTAATTAATCAAACAGAAACCAAATAGAATGCATTAAAGCATAATGCAACATTAATTAATTGTATAATATAGTGTACAGTTTATATATATAATATAGCATGCAATATTGTTAAAAAAACGGTGTGTAGTTTTTAGTGTGGTTTATATTTATAAGAAAGCGTGTCGTTACAGTATTGTTACAACTTCATATAGCATGCAGTATAAAGAAAGAGTGTGGTTTATTTTAAAGAAAGCTTGTGGTTTATTTATATATATAATATAATATATAGCATGCACATGCAGTATAAAGAAACCATGAGGTTTATAAGCAAATAAAGCATGCAGTTTTTTAATATTTTGCTTTGGTAATTAGACAAAGGCAAAAATAAAAAATAAATATAAAAAAGTTAGACAAAGGCAAAAAAAAGGTATTTCTTACGCAACGTCCATTAATGTGAAGATGATCATTTGGTTAGGTTCTCCACGAACAATTTTTGACTGAACCGACTGTACCTCAAATACTATTCCAATGGCATCTAAAATTGAAGTTAATTTGTTAGATTATACAAATATAAGAAAAATAAGTTTTATCATTAAAATAGATGTATGTATACTTACCAAACAAAAAAGACTCATCCACTTTGTCACAATCTTGAAGGGTGACAAAATTGCGAAAATCAAATGGAAAAGAAGGAAAATTGGCATAGTAATCCAAGACTTCAGTTTTGCCGTGAATGATCATTTTGTACTGCGCAATTGTTGATCTATATTTACCAATATTAGATTCAACTTGGTAGTTTCGAATTGCGTACGACTTGCCCTCTTCAAACTTGTCACCTAGGGTAGGTATGTTAACTCCTCGAATTAACCCGGTTATGCGGCCGCCCTATACATGCATTTAACAATTAAATAAATGTCAACGAAATATGTTGGTTTGCATAGATAGTTAATGTAGAAATAATAATTTGTAATAACTAAAGTAAAAAGTCAAACCTCCTTGTCATGGAACACTATTTCCAAGTAGTTTCGGTATGTGGCATTGAAACTTCTCTCGAAAATGGAGACGACCCGAAGCTTCATCATGTGTCTCTTACTTCTCTTTATATCCTTGATAAGGCCCCATGATTGATCCATTTTGAAAGTGTGTGAGAGTAGGAATGTTTGAAATGAATTATGCGTAGGATGTAGTGTTGAAATTGAAGTAGACAACTCTATTATTTATAATCAATATGTGAGTTATTGATTTATATGATATTAAATAATAATCACGATATGCATTAGAGATTTGTGAAAACAAATCTCTACATGATTAACATGGGGGTTTTTAAATCTCATCTAATAAACTAATATTTCTTCAATTTAAAGATTTGTGAAAACAAATCTCTAATGCTTTGATAAGATTTTAAAGCACGGGGGAGTTTTAAAATATTATTAAATTACATACCATATATATTTCAATGAGTTGGCAAATGAGTTGGGATGAGAGTAATCAACTAATCTATATTTCAATTAGTAGATATCGGCTATCGCTTTCTTTATTCCCGAAAAGTAATAAACTAATCTATATCTACTAATGCTTTGATAAGATTTTAAATTACGGGGAGTGCCCTATTAACACGATATGTATAACAGGTTTGTTAAGATTTTTTCACGATATGTATAACTCCCGAAAAAAAAAACCTTGATAAGGCCCCATGATTTTAAATTACGGGGAGTGCCCTATTAAATCTTATCTAATAAACTAATATTTCTTTAATTTCAACAATTAGTATATTAACTATTATTTATCATAGCATTGTTAGTTGGCATATTTTTAACTAATATTTATCATATCAAATCCACTAACACGGGGAGTGCCCTATTAACTCTCCACATGAAAATTTTAAGATATTATCTACTAATATACCATATCAAATTCAATAATGATTTTCGTTATGATTTTTATTATCAAATTAATTGATATAAATTTGTATGTTATTGAGTTTTGAAAATTTGATAAACCAAATTGTAGACACGAGTTAATATATATTTTGGCATTGTTAGTTTGTAAGTTAGAGTTTTGTTTTCAGAAATCTCTACATGATAGACATTAATGGGATTTTAAACTCTTATCAAAATCAAAACAATAGCCGGTTTTATTTCAGTAATTATTAACCAACTAATATATATGAATTGTTAGTTGGAAAATGAAAGTTTTTTGCTTTTACAAATATCTACATGATTAACATGAATGGAGTTTTAAAATATTATTAACTTACATACCATATATATTTTCAATGAGTTGGGATGAGAGTAATCAACTAATTTATATTTCAATTAGTAAATCTCGGCTATTGCTTTCTTTATTCCCGAAAAGTAATAAACTAATCTATATCTATGAATTCGGAAAAATGTAAGTTTTTTGTTTTCATAGATTTCTACTTGATTATGATGCCCGTGTTAGTTAAAATATTATTAACTAACATACCAAAATATTATTAGGAACAAATTTGTAATCTTAAATATTTATTTATTTCATACCAAAATGAATTGGAACAAACAAATCCTAATAACATAATAAAGTGGCCAACTAAATGTTGCCATAAATCCTAATAAGATAAAAATGAGGTCAGCTACATGCTGCCAATGGCCGTTTGTAATACGGCAAACTTTTTATCAACATCAAATCTAATCTAATAATTTTAAAAAACAACCTAAACAAATTAAATATTTTAATAGAGATAAGAAAACCAATAGAACATCATGCTTCAACTTCATATTGGGCCACGACTTTATTGTTCGTAGTACTTCCAAAATCTTGTTTCTCTCCAATCTTAGCCTTTCCCTTACTTTCAGTAGTAGCAGATTCCATTTCTTTAGTTGTAGTATGATCAGGTGAACCAGACAGATCCTTCATGAGATTCCACTTAGCTGAAAACATGTCCTGCACATGCTCAAAAACTTGGCCAATTTTCAATGGAGTTGTGACTTCATATTCTACAGATGAGTCCTATACATACATATAGTTATTAGTCATATAATCATATAATATATGTAATGTAATAGATATTAAAAACTAAAACACTAATTAATCTAACCTGCCCATTGTTGTGATCTTCTCTGTGCAGGAGAGAAAGATAAGTTAACTCCTGCAACATGTGATATTATAGATGGTAAGAATTTTATTTAATAAAAAAATATATTTTAATATACTTTAACAAATACCTCATTAGTTTCATATAGCAAAATGACGTCTCTATTTTCCAAGACATCAATTTCACTTTTGAGCACACTCTTGCTATTGGAGATATATTTCTTGTTTTTTGACTCGCTTGTGGAAAACCTAAAATGTGGGTAGAGGAAAAATAGTGAAATTTTGGAAATTGTTTAAAACTTTAATTACCTTTATTACCTTTGCCAGAAGTCCCTAATTTCAGCAATTGTATCAGTTGCAATCAATCTTGTAATATTCATGGCAGTGGTAAGTTGAACTTCGCCTATATATTAGAAATAAAAAATAATTAAATTATCGCACAAATATAAAACTATTGAAAGCATGCAAATTACATATAGCAATCTATATAGTTTCAAATTTACCTCTCCAAGTGCGAGCCCTGCATAGTTGCATGATCAATACCCATGGTCGACCGGGTGCAACTCCTTGATAGTGTTGCTCGAAAGCCAAAAATTGGTCCAAGTAATGACCCCAAAGCGTGCAAGTTATAGCAATGCCACTGTAATATGGCATAAAAAAAATTGTTACAATTTTTTCTTAAATATTTTTGTTGTATTTCGACAAAAAGAGACACAAAATGAATGCATAATAGCAAATTACAACTTTTCATGTATCCGGTTTTATATATAATTTAGTTTTATAAAAATTACAACATTAAATAAAATAGGTGTGCATTACAGTTATAAAGAAATTCTGCTGCAATTAGTCAAAAAAGAAAAAAAAAATTGAATACGTGTTGTAAGTAGACAATAAAAAAAAAGTGTGTTGTTCCATAAAAGAATTGGGCTGTAATGTGAAAGCAAATGCGTGTTGTTCCATTAGACAATAAAAAAAATCTTGTTTTCCATGCAATTACTTACGCAATTAGACAATAAAACTTTATCAGAAGTTTAATGTGTGCTGTCCATGTTTCCATTACACAATAAAAAAAATATTGTTCTCCATGCAATTACTTACGCAATTAGACAATAAAATAAATCCTGTTCCATGCGTGCTGTCATTAGACAATAAAAAAATCTTATTTTATACAAATCTTGTTGTAATTAGACAATAAAAAAAAAAATTACTTACGCAGCATCCATTAAAGAGAAATGGATTATTTGAGTCGGTTCTCCATGAAAACTAATTTTCTGAACGCAGTGTACATCAAATACCATTCCAATGACATCTAAAATTGATGTTAATTTGTTAGATAATATAAATATAAGAAAAATAAGTTAGATGGTTGAATTAAATGCATGAACACTTACCAAACAAAATAGACTCCTCCAAATTGTGACAATCTTGAAGGGTGACAAAATTGCGAAAATCAAATCGGAACATTGGAAAGTTGACATAGTACTCCAATACGTCAGTTTTGCCGTGAATAATCATTTTATAAGGCGCACGTGTCGATCTATAGTTACCAATATTAGATTCAACTTGGTAGTTTCGAATGATGTACACTTTGCCCTCTTCAAACTTGTCACTTAGGGTAGGTAAGTTAACTCCTCGAATCAAACCGGCTATGCGAGCGCCCTATACATTTAACAATGAATAAAATGTGAACGAATTTTTTTCATTTGCATAGATTTGAATAATTACGTATAATAATTTGTAATAGGTAAATTAAAAAATCAAACCTCATTATCATGGAACACTATTTCCAAGGCATTGAAATTTCGTTCGAAAATGCAGACGGCCCGAAGCTTCATCATGTGTCTCTTATTCCTCGTTATATCTTTGATAAGGCCCCATGACCGATCCATTCTAAAAGTTTTATGTGTGAGAGTAAGAACGTTTGAAATGAATTATTCGTAGAATGTTGTGGGCAAATTGAGGTAGACAATTCTATTATTTATATTAATAGTGTGAGTTGTTGATTTCGGGCAAATAAAAAAACAGAATTCAAAAGAGTGTAAAAATACATAAACTTATCTGATAAGAGTTCACCAATCAATGGAACTCTAAATACCGGTAGAGTAAAATTGGGAGTCAATGAAAATCCCACTTAAGTAGGAAATAATCAAATAACACACCACATGAAATGAAATGAATATAAAATCGGGTAGAAGAAAATGGATGTTAACCAACCACTTAAATTTGTTTTACAAAAAAAAATCAACTTAAGTGGGATAAGCACGTGTCTAATCTAATTAGTTTAGCAATTGGGCACATGATAATCAGATGGCACATGAAAATCGGGCACATGAAATTCGGGCAGATTAAAATCAGTTTAGCAATCAAATTAAATAAAAAATTTTCAAATCAGATTAACTTAAACATCCCACTTAAATAGGATGTCATCAACGAATATAGGAGTTTTCTATTTAAAATTGAGAATTGTAATTTTAATTATTCCCACGTATAAATTATTCATTATTTATCGGGATTTTACAAAATAATATTGGTCAAATCTTATACTTCAGTCCAAGTTATCCATTATTAGCTGATTAAACAATCATCAACTATCCGCTAATTGCGAAACTAAAAAAAACTAAACATTTGAATGTTCAAATTAACTTAAAAAAATTGAATAATCAAAATTTTCAAATCACATTAACTTAAACCGGGAAATGAAAATTTTCAAAAAGAAGTTACTATATTTAGTATCTTTTTAGCGGGAATCCAAATTCTTTTTTAGTTACTATTTATGTATTATTTAGGTTCCCTCTTTTTATAATAATAGATTAAAAATTGAGACGTTAGCCTCATTTTGCCATAAATATAGAAAAATTAGCCGGATATGATTTCAGTTGTTGATTATGAAATTCATATAAGTCATAGAAATTAGTGATTTAAAATATCGGCTCAATGACTTAGGATTTTCGAGAATCAGAAATCCTAGTTTTAGAAATCCTAGTTTTATCCGGTTCCGATAACTGGGTAATTTTCAAATTCGAGCTTAATCGACTGAACCCTAGTACCGTATAAGTAATTTTGATGACTAAAATGCATTGCTTGCAACTTTTTAATGTCCTGAATTTTCAAGCTGTGTTTATGCAATAGTAGTTCCTGATATAGTGAAAATTGTAAAGCCCGTAGTCTTATGGAACAATTGTAAAAGCATCTTTTGTATTTTTTGTTGATTACCAGAGGTGTTAACCATTTCATGTCTAATTCTAGATATGAAATGAAAAATAAAAATAAATAAACCCCTTGTATTTTGTCTTAATTCAATTGTGGTCTGATGTCTTGTAACAACTCTTGTTACTGGAAGCATGTATTTTGGTGCATGAACAGTGATAAAATTGTTCTGTTCAGCCTAAGTCAATTTATACTCAATTGATGTTAGAAAATTAAAAGAAGAAGAAATATTTTGTATTTTGGTGGAGAAAGCTGTTGTGTATTATGATTAAATTGTTGGTCATTTACATTAAAGATGAAAGTTACAAATAATACAATAAATCAAAAAGAACCGAAACACATCAAAATCAGTCCAATAGTATAGTATCTGAATGTAGACAACAGTGGAATAAAATCATAACAAAACATGAAAGATTCTAGCAAGGAGGAAACTGTGTTCCATTGATTGAGCGGACATGGAAAACATTAATAAAAGTATGATCAACTTGTTTAGTTAAGTACATTAAAGACGAAATTTACAAACAATAAATAAAACAAAAAAAATGAAGAAAGAACTAGTTAACGAAACACATCAAAATGCATGTATCTAGTCACACATGAAATTAACCTCCGTCACTTGAGTTTTCTTGTTTCCTTTTTTGTGGTAAAATAACCTCTCATGCATAACACAAGTTATTAGTTCATGTGTTAGGTAACACATACACATTACACACCAAAATGAAGCATTTTCACAGACCAATATTTGGCTATTCCAAAGCACACAATTTTGTGTGCTCACCAAAATGTGGTTTGCATGTGCTATTGAAGTGCTTTCCAGTAATCTGAACTCCAACACATTCACATAAGTGCAAAAGCAATTGCATTTTATCAGACATACCACCGTTTCTCTTAAAAACTGTTTCTCTTAAAAACAGATCACCAATTGAAATAAAAGACAATAGCCAAACTAAATCAAGAAGCATTATATCATACAAGACAACACAAGCATCCACTATTGACGACTAATCCAATCCAATGAGAACCTTGAGAAAGAAGATCATACCTCCCCAATAGCCAATAATGCTAAAATGACGGGTTTGAATTCAATCACAAATCATGAATTCACTGATGACCAATAGGTTGTCTTTTTTGAATGCCAATAACTGAATATGGGTACCATTGGACGGACGCGAAAATATGTTCTTGTCGAAAATAACATATGTCTCTACGAAAGAATGTGCATTCTTCTCCATTTCAACAAATTTGGTCTTTCGACGATGTTAATCATATCTTTAAATTCGTCTCAGGAGAACTTTTTGGCCAAAGTAAAAAAAACTTCTCTTGCAGCCCTGCAAAATTATCCATTAATTGTTGAAAAAATAATAAAACCAATAAGAACAATATTTAAAGCATAAATAAAAAGATACCTGGGCAAGAATGTTGTGTAAATGTAATGTCAAATAACAATACTGCAGAATAGACAAATGTAGTCTTTTCAGGTCATGATATTTGTATTTATTAATTAAAAAAGTGACATATGCTACACTTGGACAACTAGGACAACTTTGATCTATATCAGGCTCCACATTGTTCTTTCCAAAGTTTGGAAATATTGTCGACATTTTCTCCTCATTCTCTTGGATGATCGCAGATAAACTATCAAAATAAAAAAACTAATGAGAATTGAACATTTATTATAACATTTATTAGACTTTTGAATTTTAAGAAACGCATCGCAACTTCTCATCGGACAATTTTCTAAGGGAATACAGGGGTTCACCAGAAAATACAGACTTCTCATAATTAGTCCCCAAGTATTTTTTCACCGGTCTGTCAATCCAATGAAATGAGAGTTCTACCTCCGGAAGTTTGTCCGACACAAACAAAATTTTCTTTGAGAAGTTGGTCAATGAAGTCATCTTATAGGACATACACACCATACACATCGGTAGCTGATCGATCTCGCCCTGATGAGCCCTCTCGCCCTGTTGTTTTTAAGTTCTTCGATCAGCTACCGTTGTGTATAGTGTGTCTGTCTTATAGAGGATGA